TGAATCAAGAATAATTTCAAAGCTACTCAAACAACAAAAGGCAGTGGAGAGTGAAAATTCAAATGTAGCAGGAACATTATCTGATTAGAAACCCATGGTCATTGTCCTCCACCAAAAACAGCCCACAGATTGCTGATGTAGTCTCTGACCTCTATAATATGATTGCATTTGTATCACAAGTTGGTGGCTCAGCATTTCCTCTCCCCTTTCTTTTTTTTAAAACCACAGAAAGGCATAGGGAACACATTTCACTGTAAAATATGATTTGAACCTGTTGGAAGACTGCCCGTTCTAAAGTGTCACCCTGGCAGCTCACCGATGGCTTCTACTTCCTGCTAGAAGTTTCCTGGGAACAACCCTCCTCCAGCAGAATTCTGTGCTCTTACCACAGGGTGGGAAGGAGGGCAGTCTTAGAAGTGGCAACTCCAAAGCCAACATAAACTCTACCCATCGTTGCATAATGGTACTTGTAACACTCCCTCTGGAAGGAGCAGCCACCCAATTCTGGCACATTCCGTGCTTGGGCCACGGTGAGACGGTTCAGAAGAAGGTGCTACCACTAAACAATAGCGACAGTGAACGCTGTTTACCAGCCCTGATACCAACTGTGCTCACTGTCTTCCTATCTGTCCATCCCTGTGCATGCGTCATCCAGCCCAACATAGCCAACTGCCCAGAGGGCAGACATGCCAGACAGTGTCCCCCACAGCTCTCAGCTTTTACTGAGGGAAGGGGTATCACTGCTTCCACTGCCAGGTCCATAAACACAAACTGCCAAGCCTCTCATGTTTTGGGGACATCGTATTCGTGTGCATCTCTCACACAGAGACTATGAGTGAGACAGGAAAAGAGGCACAGAGACAGAGACAGAGACAGAAGGAAGAGGCCGAAAAAGAGCAAAAAGAGCCCCACCCCCACTCTCACCCCCAAAGAAAAGAGACCAAACCAGGGAGACATATTTCTTGTGTCTTGCACAGAAATGAGAGGAAACTCCTTTGGGCACAGGCAACTTTCGGGATGAGGGAATCATGTTTTGTACAGGCACTCTGACCATTCACAGCCCACTGGTTTCCCAGCAATGACTGACCATTCTGTGAATTTCAGAGAACAATTCATTGTCTTTGAGACCACCTACAACTTGCATGCATGTGACATCATTCTAGGTTACACCAACTCAGCATTTCCATAAAATTTCTATACATAACAGTCATAAGGTATTGTGATGTATTTGAGCAAATCAGAAATATCTTGTGCTTAGAAGTGTTAGTTTTATAATAATTGATGAGTGTCTATTTTTATGTGTGAAAGTTATCTTTTATTTAAAGGAGGTTAAGACTGAAAAAAAAAAAAAGGGATGTTTCACAAAACTAGGTTGTGCAGCCAGGCCAGTACTTGCATTATGAGTGAATGTGCCTCATCCTGTTACTGAAAGTACCTACTGGGGGAGAACTTGGGGTGAATACGGATGTTGAGATGATTGTCCTTCTTCAACTGAATTTTAAACACTGGTGGTTTTGATTCTCTCCCAATCCTTCATTTTCTGTAGTGGGGCCAATACAGATAAGTAAAAGAAGCCAAAAAGAAAATACCTGTTAAAAAGTTTGAACGAGTAAAACCTTAATCAGAGCCAAAATTACTAATGCAAAATCTGTTGCATTAATGCAGAGTGACTAACCAAAGCAAATGCCATCAGTATGAATTGATTTCCTTAATTAAATTTCCTACTTTAGGACGTACAGATAACTTCACAGTTCAATAAAGATTTGGAGTAAGAGAAAAAAAATGAAGTGAACCCTAGCCGGTTGTGTAGGGGTTCAGAGCATCCGCCTGTGGACTGAAGGGTTGAGGGTTCAATTACAGTCAAAGGCAGGTTCCTCGGTTACAGGCTTGATCACTGGCCAGGGGTGATGTGTGCTCACCAATTGATGTGTCTCTCTCTCCCACTGCCTCTAAAAATCAATGGGGAAAATATCCTCAGGTGACAACAAAACAAAACAAAGTGAAGCAAAAAGGGCAGAATGAGTTTCAACAGACCAGAGCTCTGGCTTCAGCTGTTAGTATTAAATAAGTTGATTAAATGAATCAACTCACATTAATTCTCTTGTGTATAAAAATGAAAGTGATAGATTAGCTAATCTTTAAAATTTCTGAAAAGACGGTAGTGGACTACAGAAAGGGAGCATTTTCTAATTTTCCTAAAGATCTTATAGAAAGAAAGAAAAAAGTCAGTAAGGTAAGGTCCTGGTAGCCTAGTAAGATTCACTCAAAATAGTACTATTGTAAGTATGATTTGAATTTAAAATTTTTACCCATGACATTCCCTCAAAGAAGGCTCTGAGCAATGTATTTCAGAAATCTTACTTGGGTGGACTTGCCCTCGAACAGTACAGCCTTTGTCACAACGGGCCCCTTAATGACATTCTGGGCTGATGCTTGGAAGACCCACAGTGTGTGTGTGGGAACCCTGGCACTACCCCACGGAACAATGCAAGAAGGATCCCGCTCAGTCTCCCTTATGCAATGCTCAAATCCTGGACAGAGCAATGAAAGTGGGGAACTGACGAGGAACTGTGATTTATATAGAAAGGGGACAATTATCTTGACATGCAAAGCATCTTTCTTAAATAATTTTTGTAATTTTTACAACTATCCTAAATTTTAGGGTTTGCACTGTTTTTGTAAAACTGGTTTCAATATACTTTTATCAAACTAGAAAAAGTTACCACGTATGTCCCTAGGAAAAATCTTCACTTATGCCAAGAAAATAAGACCCACAAGTACAGATATAAATGAAATGACAGGTAATAGCAAAATGAAATGGAAATAAAGAATGTAGTGAAATGTTTTTTGATATTGAATAATATTGAAGGTTTAGGTACAAAATCAGACTTATATTTTAAAAATGATTTTTAACTATTGTATGTTATTCCCAAACCAATGTTTTTAGCCCTACACCCTCCCTAACAATTATACTTGCAACTGCCTGATAGACAGTTCTGTGTAAATGTCACATATTTACCACCAAGTTTTCTCCTCCCCAAAGATAAGTTCTCTTTTCTCCTAAATTCCCTTTAGGGCATCATCATGCTCTCAAGTCAGAGACCTGAGAATCCCAAGTCCTAACAATTTCTCACTTCTAGTGCCAAAACTATCACCAAACCCAGCATATCCTAGCTCTTTCACATTTCTCCCCCTTCTCTGTTCCTCACTGTTTCTACCCTAATTCTAGCCCTTCCATCTTTCCCCCAAAATCTTTACAAAACAAACCTTCCTCCCTTCAATCTTACTCCAGCTCATTCTCTACATGTTCTCTAGATTAACATGCCTCAAATGCTAACGATTGCTAGCTCCTCAGTGGTTACACACACACACACACACACACACACACACACACACACACAGCCCGCATACCTAGAACAACTTATTATTTCCACATATGGGATTCACATCCCTATCCCACTGCTCCTGTCTGCAATACCCTCCTGCCTGCTCGTTAGCTGGCTCACTCCTGTTTACCTCTCAAGGGCCACTTAGGGTCACTTTGTCCAGGATGACTGCTTGACACACACACACAAGCCTCTGACAGCAGGCTGTATGTTTGATGCCTTTTTCATTCCTCAGTGCACTCTCAGCATACTGTTATCATGCTGGAGTGGAACATATTGATTTATTTGCCTGTCTCTTGAAATTTGACAGATATTTCTTAAAGGTAAGTGCTTATCACCTTTGCTTCCTGAAATCCTTGCAAAGCATACTGAATCAAATTAAAAATTAATCAAACTATGGAAGAAAATAGATGAGAGGATATGTGGAAGGTTATAAATGCTTAGAAATGGTCATTGTTTCCCTTACTTATGCAAATGTGATTTCATGGCTTTACAAAGTGCTGTCATGTAATTTATATTGTTTGATCCTTGAAACCATCCTGAGAAGGCAGGGCAAGGTAGATAGGAAGGCTGATACAGACTCTAAATACAGGAGCTCTCCCACCTCCCATGGTTTTGCTTCCCACAGTGTCAGTTACCCAGGGTCAGTCAGTCATGGTCCAAAAATATTAAGTAGAATAATTCCAGAACTAGACCACTCATAAGTTTTAAATCTCACACCATCCCCATCTGTCTCTCCGGGCATGTGAGTCATCCCTTTGCCCAGCATGTGGATGCCCGCTGGTCATCTGGTCCTCTTCATGGTTATCAGATCCACTATCATGGTCACTAGGTGCTTGTGTTCCAGCAATCTTATTTCTTTTAAAAATAGTTTATTGGCTTTTAGAGTGCAAGGAAAGGAGAGGGAGAGAGAAAAACATCCATGGGCTGCCTCCTGCATGGACCCTAAAGGGGATCAAGCCTGCTACCCAGGCATGTGCCCTTGACAGGGGATGGAATCGACAACCTCCCTGGGCACAGGACAAGGCCCAACCAACTAAGCCACACAGGTCAGGCTAGTAACCCTTATTTTACTTAATAATGACCCCAATGTGCAAGAGTGGTGATGCTGGCGATTCGGATATGCCAAAAAGAAGTCATAAAGTGCTTCCATTGAGGTACATATGTATAGGGGGGAAATCATAGAAAATATGGGGTTTGGGACTATCTGCAGTTTTAGAGATCTGCTGGGAGTCTTGGAATATTTCTCCTATGGATAAGGAAGCACTACTATACATAAGACATTTCTCTGAGAAGGAAATGTTATTGATTTCCTTTTAGGGAGGTGTGTGTGTGTGTGTGTGTGTGTGTGTGTGTGTGTGTGTGAAATAAGTCTTCTTAGGTCAGAACTACAACGCCAAATACAATAAATTCCTGTTTGGTCAAAACAGTCCATTGATTTTCTTCATAACTTCTAACACAGTCTCCTAAAAAGGAAAAAACTCTCAATTCTTGATAGAAAGTTTTCAACATTCTAATCCTCTACCCACTCTTTTTTTTTAAAGAGGCATATTTCAGAATACAGAACAACTCATTTAGATTTCTAAATACAAAACGAGAACTATGGGCCCTCACCTTTGGAAGATCTGCTGAGCCAAGGGTTTCCTGACGGTTCCTGCTTTTTGAAGCTGTCTTCTTCTCAGGATGATGCCGACAGCTGACAGCAGCTTTGGTGAAAGCCTTCAGCAAACAAGGGTGGGGGCTCCTGAAGAAGAGAATCACAAAGGTTCCTGAAAAAGAAAAGAGAAATGCAGAACAGTGAACAACTGTTTGGGGTTAGTGTATTCTTTGACCCAAGATTTCATCCTGTTATCCTACTACAATTGGCAAGGAGAACTTAATACATATTAACTTCCATGATTAGATTTGAACTAAGGATTACTGTATGAAGGGCATCAATGATTAAGAAACTTGAAGCAATTTAATGGCAACAGGTAATGAAATAAAGGCAACATAATTCCAATTACATTTTGGTCTGAATGATCCCTAAGTAGCAGGAAACACGCCATACACAAATCAAAAAAGGAAAAGGAAGCCCTTGATCCTATTCTGCTCTCGTATTTCATGGGAATACACCAAGCTTTATAGTCACATCAACACACCGGCCACGAATCTAATACAGACTTAAAAGAATAAACAACGAAGAGCTAAGCATTTGATCAAGGTTGACGATGTCAGAGAGGAACTCAGCAATGCAATTACGCCTTGCAGGTGGCTTAGACGGCGGTGAGAAAAGAGGCATCTGGGAATAAGGAAAACAAGCATAAGGTTAGAGTAGAACTACACAGAGTGAAACCTTAATTAAACAGAAGTGCTTGAGTCATGTGTTTATTTAATACCTCCCTTTAATGAAAAAGGGTGAGGATCACAGAGAGGATTGTTTGGGGTGAGTCTGTGGTGAGAAGAGAGGAGGACAGGAGATCCGGACCTGCCTCCACTGCTTGCTGTCTCACCCAGGCGTGCTACGTGCTTCATGTTGTGGCCACATTAGCACCACAGGAGAGCTTTCAAAAATTTGATGGCTTGGCCCCTGCATAGGCCAAGTAAATCCTTGGCCAATTAAATCAGAATTTCGGGTGGGATGGACCCCAAGTATAGGAGTTTTGGTGTGTGTTTTTTAAAATAGAGAAAGCCAGAGATGCTCTTTGATCACTCATCTAGCTTTAACATTGTCTTTTCCACATTGTCTTTTCCACATTGTCTTTTCCACATAGTTATGCACCTCATAACTCATTGTTTATTTTATTTTTTTAAATATATTTTATTGATTTTTTACAGAGAGGAAGGGAGAGAGGTAGAAAATTAAAACATCGAAGAGAGAGAAACATTGATGTTTCTGCCAAGGTACATGCCCTTGACCAGAATCAAACCTGAAACCGCTCAGTCCACAGGCTGACGCTCTATCCACTGAGCCAAACCAGTCAGGCTCAAGTTTGTTTTAAAAACAAATTCCATTTAAAACAATAGTATCCAAAATTTAAATACCCAGTCCTAGTCAGTTGCTCAGTGGCTAGAGCATTGGCCAGTGGATCAAGGGTTGTGGGTTCGATTCCAGTCAAGCACATGCACCTCGGTTGTAGGCTTGATCCCTGGCCCTGGGTTACGTGCAGGATGCAACCCATTGATAAGTCTCTCTCACATTGATGTTTCTCCTTTGTGTCTCTCCCTCTCCCTTCCACTGTCTCTAGAAATCGAAAGAATCAGGTGAGGATTAATAACACAACAAAAATTTTCAAATCTCAGTAAAATTAAATAGTTCCCCAACTTTCTGAGATGTGCAGTGACTCATGCAAGGTCTGAGCAAACTCCAGGACAGCATCAAGTCTTCTGGGGAGGATAAAGTGGGATCGTGGCCTGGGCTGGTCAGAACTCTATTTCAGCCTGGAGTGCGGCTGATGAGAAGATGTGGAGCCACGCCGATCACTAGGTCCGAATGCCGTGGCTGTGAGGGCAGATGGGAGCCTAACCTCAGGGTTCCTGCCCCTTAAGGAATCGTAAGGATAAAAATAATCCCGGTGGCTAAATTATTGAGCACTTCAGATGAGCTACAGACTATGCTAAGAAAGAAGGGCTTGAATCCTCACAAGAACTCTCTGACCTAAGTACTATTATTATCTGCAATTTATAAAAGAGAAGCTGAAGCCAAGAGAGCTTAGTCTCGTCTCCAAAAGAGTGGAACTAGAATTTTAAAGAGCGGGTCTCTCTGCTAACCATAAATTGCCTTGAGGGAATGCAATGAACAGGCAGCTAGAGGCAAGGCTACTCAGCCCTTGTCGGGCTTTGTCTTCTTTTGTCACAAAGCATTTTTCCCATTGGAAAGTGCAAACAGAAACATCCAGGAGTCTTCCCAGCGCTTTCAGACTTTCTCAGATTAAAGAACTAATTTGTTTGAGAAAGGATTAACATTTCTCCCTTCACAACACCCACGCACACATGCACACATGCAAGCACGCACATGCAAACACACACACACACACACACACACACACACACATAGTTCCAAATTGATAAAGTTAGAATGCTGAAATTTAATTATGCTATTTTGGAGAATTCAGTTCAAGCAACTGTCAGAAGAGTCATCACTGAAATCTGTCCTAAGTGACTCAGTCCATCCTGACATAGGAGTGTAAAAGCCTAGCTAAATCTCTGGAACATCATTTACAGTTCATTTGGCAAAAACTCACCAAACTTTCTTACACTCATCTTAAATCATCTTGGAGAGGTATTATCTTTGTTGCAATATGCTGTCTCATTATATTTACCTTATGCAAAATCATTTTCTTTCTTTAAAGTATTGTTATTAGTCTTAGTTGGTTAGAGCACCATCCTGATATACCAAGGTTATGGGTTCAATCCCTGGTTAGGCAACATCCAAGAATCAACCAACGAATGCAAAAATAAATGGAACATCAAATTGATGTTTCTCTCTCTTTCTATCTTCATTTCTCCCCTTCCCTCTCTCTCCCCCTCTCAAATCAATAAATAAAAATGAAGGTTTTATTTTCATCCCATTAATGTGTTGCCTTTATCGAATCGTGTTTATTATTCCAACCTGCTCAAAACTCTGGCTTCTCAATTCTGTCCTTCCAAATATTTTTTATGCTTTTCACCTTCATGTTATCTACAAATTAGGTAAGCATGCCATCTAGAATAACGTTCATGCTATCATAAAAATTGGATACTATTTCACACAGCAAATAGTGGCATAAAAATAATGAAAACTGTCTGGCCAGTGTGGCTCAGTTGATTGGGCATCATCCTGTGCACAGGGAGGTTGCCAGTTCCATTCCCAGTCAAGGACACATGTCTAGGTTGTGGGCTGGATCTCCAATCAATGTTGCGCTCTCACATCAATGTTCTGCTTTCTCTTCCTCTCCCTTCCTCTCTCTCAAAAAATCAGTAAACTATTTAAAAAAAAAACACACACACACAAAAAAAAAACCTAATAGACAATAAATTAAAATCAATTTATTTTATTGCCAAAGTCATTACTTAAAATTAATGATTACCAATTCTCCAAATAGACTGGAAATCATCCTGAAGATATGAATAGCTACATAAACTGACGTGACCAAACAATTCATCTGCTGAATCAAAGTTTTACTATTTATTTGATGGGGACTGCAAATCCCAGGAGAATTAGGTTCCAGCGTCATTAGAAAAAATTAGGCCATAGTTGAGATAATTGGCAACATGAACTTTGTAGTTAGAGTAATTACCTGTGCAGCAGACCAAGAAGTTATGTTTGAGAAGCATATTGCAAAAACAGAGCCAACTTAGCTTCATCCTTCCCTGAGGCAATCATGGAAATTAGCAAAATCTGTCATTTTAGGTCATCTGGTGTACTCCTGCCAAAGTGAAATTGTTTTCCGAAGATCTCAACTGCTTTGTCTAATTTACCTTTCCGTTAGCCTGGGATCTCTTCGTACAGCTAAAAGCCCCGCACCAGAGAGCATTTTAAGTTCTCATATCTGCTTTTTTCATTTTTTTCTGTCTCTGCCATTACTGTCAGGATGTCAAACTCCAATTTCTCGTGGTGGTCCGTGTGCCTGTTGGGAGTAACCAAACCTCCACTGTCCTAACTGGATACATGTGTGCCTCCTAGGGGTGTAGTATGACTGTAGAGTCCACACCTTCTCTGTTGACCATGCAGGGGCCTTCTTGGCCTGCTTTTTTCTCAGCTGTGTGAATTACTAAATTGTTCATTCAACAATCACTGTTTAGATATGCTGGGGATGAGGTACTGCCCTGGGGGACCAAACGAAACTGGAAGGTGACTGAGACACCAAGACTTGCAGATAAAAGACAGAGATTAGATATAATACTACCAGAGATCCACCTCTGCCTGCAGCCAAATTGCTACTCTCAGAGTTTAATCTGTCTGAGGCTATAGACCAGTGGTTCCCAATGTGGGGCACATGCCCCATGGGAGAGCAACTTGATTTAAGGAGGGCAATTTGAGAATGAGTTATTAAGTGAATTTTTTGCATTCATTATGGTCCTAGGGGCCTCATAGATAGTATGTAAGGATACATAGTGACATATTTATGCATTTCAGTTCTTTATTATATGTTTTGAAACTTTGCTATTTTTTCATATCACTTCATATTATTATTTTTTTAACAATTTCTTAGTGATTTCTTTCTTAGTACTTCAATTTTTTCGTTCTTTTATTTCTTTCATGGATGCCATGTTCTTTGGAAGCGTGTTTAGACCAAGCTAATGAATGGCCTTCCTCCATGTGAATAGGAGTTCGCTTTTTGAATAATAAGAATTATACACTGAGTGGCCAGATTATTATGATCTCTGAATGCATAATAATCTGGCCACTCAGTGTATATCCTATATAACAGAAGGCAAATATAAATGTCCCCTCGACCAAGATTTTGATCAGCAGACAGACCAGCCAACCGCCCATGTCCAGGCTGGCCGGACCCCACCCATGCACGAATTCATGCACTTGGCCTCTAAAATACACACACACACACACACACACACACACACACTCAAACACCGAGTAGCCAGATTATTATGTGTTCAGAGATCATAATAATCTGGCCACTCAGTGTATGTCACAGGGGAGAGGGCATCAGGATTCTAGAGATGCTTCGGTGGGGCATGGCCAAAAACGGGTGGGGAACCACTGTTATAGACCATTCCACAGATGGGACAAGAGATTTTTAACCTGGTGGGGCAATTGCTTTCCCCATATCCCCCAGGCAAAAGCTGC